TGAAGTGCGTGTTCTTAGAAAAGATGGGTCATGAGAGAGCCCGTAGCTTAAGTGATTTGTTAGGTAGGGCATATCCCTACAACAACTATGAATAAAAACTTCTAACTGAAAGAGGCAAAAAAGATCAAGGAACATGAAACTTCATACCTAATCAGACACCAAAAAGGGATGGTGGCCATTGTAAAGAAGAAGAAGAACATGATCACTGGTCTAGGTTGAATTCTTACACCCCTCTAAGCACTTAGAGGAATAAAATTTGAAATAAGTGTGCAAATAATGAGTTCAAGGAGGCCGAGATTAGGAATCCCTACCCGATCAAGGAATCGTCTCGAATAGACAAGTCCAAATATTGTTGTTTCCATAAGAGTCACAATCATGATACAAATGATTGCATCTAGCTGAAAGATGTTATAAAAGGACTTAATAAGAACAAGTGGTTGGATGAATACACCCTAGACAATAAGAAAGGTCGAAAAATCTTAGATGATTCACCAAAGAAGAAGCCCCCTAGAGAAAAATCCCCAATAAGACTGTTAAAGTTGTGAAGAAGAAAAAAGTCATTAAGAGAAACGCCAATACATCACATACATAACTAGTGGTCTCCCAAGAGCGAGGAACCTCTCCAAATGGATGACGTAAAGGAAGATAGGTGAGTTTATGATTGTAAACAAAAAGAAGGGATACACTTAAACTGGGGAGCTAGAGAGACTTATCCCCGAATTCTTTGACTGTCAAAATATAGGAAGGATCCCAAAAGAGATATTTCATCTAGTGATAACAACCACCATTGTGAATTTTGATGTTTCACGAATCCTCATTGGCAGCGATAGTCCCAGTGACATAATGTATTCATGCCTTTTTTTAGATTATGGTGTTGAAGAAATAAAAATTATGAACCGACGAAGGATCTAATTCACAAGCCTTCAATGACACAGTAATCAATTCTTGAGGATACGTCGAACTAATGGTCACTCTAAAAAAAGGAAAAGATATTATAACGATTAACCCACAACTTCTTTTGGTTTTTCATCCCATATTGCATTCTCCTCTTCTTCATATTTTATCTCTAGGTGTTATTTTTGAAAATTTATGTGATTTTTACTCCTAGTACTTATCTATCATCAATGGCACCAAGAAAGTCAAAACTTCCGCTAGCTTTTATGCTCCAACTTACTTCTCTGAAGATTTCTTAACCATGGAGAAAAAGGTCGTATACAACTGATATTTTTACACTATTGAGATCTTGACTTCTTGCTTCTTGGAGCCAAGAGTCTTAAAATATTGCAAGATGTTCAAATTTCCTAAAGAATCAATTTTGAAAGAATTCATTTGCAATGTACTTTTGGAGGTTTATCTAACTCTAGGAAAGATGTTTTACGACAATCATGGATATGCAAATGGCTTACTCACCTATGGAGTCAATAATCGTCATATTTCTCTATCTCTTGAAGAGTTTACTGAAATATGAAATCTTCCCTGATCTAGTCCTCACTACCTGGAGATTGATCAAAGTGGAAATTTTATAGCTTTATCTTCTTTCTCTTATCTGCAAGATCCAAACTCCGACATTCCCTTACCTTTTCTTGTGGACGGTGTGCACCCAGATATTCACCTAATTCACTGTGGTAAACCACATTCTTGTCCCTAGAAAATATAATTTGGGACAATTGTTAAAAACGGATGTGGTCATGACCTAACAGAGTTGAGACAAACTGGGTCAATGCACCGATCCATCACACGATAATAAGCAAAAGAAAAAGAGTGATGTGGGTATTGTCATACCCTAAATTTTACCTTAAGTTTTACCTACATCAGCATAGCATAATCAGTTCATCATGCATTCCATCAAGTCAAAAGAATTCATTAGGGCTTAGATGAAAAGTCAGGAGTTCTGGCATTATATTTGGGGTCTTGATGACATTCATTCAGTCATCTAATGATTAAGAAGTCGAAAGAATTTATTTTCTAATCTTAGTGCATCGTTCAATCCATTGCATCGTGTTTCAGAGGTCCATAGGGTGACAATCATGAGTATGGTTATCATCTGAACCTTTGAAGGGTCTTGATTGTGTTTGAGAATTAGAAGCAAATGGTCCAAGAGTGATTCATTTGCATCTGGTTGTTTATTCACAATTCCTTAGTCAGTAAATTAATGCATTCATAAAACATATGCATTATCTACTCATCACATCATGCATTTCATCCCGCATATTGTTTAAAATGTCGCTCGAAATAAATCTACGAATCTACTTATAGACCAGTTGAATCGTTTTGCAAATATGCGTCAAATTTGTGGGCAAAAAATTTCAAAATCAAACTTGCAGACGTCAATTTTCTTAATCTATGACTCACGTAGTTTAACTCGATGTACTCGTTTTATTTTTCAACTATTTTTTTGGTCGCATTCTGATAAGTCCGAGCCTTTTAACCAATCATTTTTTATTTCAAAATTCGATCAAAATCTGTATATTTCTAAGAAATTTATTTCGCGCTGATTATTTTAACGCATTTATTTTAATTTTTTGAGCATTTTTTTGCCTAATTTTTATTCATTTTTAATCTGTTTATTTTTGTTTCTTAGCCAAATTAACCGTTGGAATTAAATAGAATTATTTGTTTTCTCTTTCTGATTTAATTTCGATTTTCTAATTTTTATTTGATATATTTTGTTTCAATTGTTTTAATTCATTGTTTATACTAAAATTATTAAACAATGTTGTTTTTGGTTTTGTGAAAATATAACACTTGTATTCATTCATAAATAGAAGGTGAAGGCAAAATGGAAAAAAGGATCTCAATATTCATCACAAATGCCACGTGGTCAGCTGGAGAAATGAGGACCACACCACTGAGGTGCCACGTGGCGCATTTCAATTGGGGCTGGGGGTTTTCTTTGAATTGAAAGGAAAGGAATTAAGATAAAAAAATCAAGGAAACGTTGCATAGTGGTTTTCAGCCTTCATGTTGCATAGACCACCCTCACAAAACTTTTTTGGTTTGCTTCTCCAACTCACTTCACACAACCATATTACTTTCAAATTCTTCTTCCACTTCATCACCTCATAAATAAACTGTGCGCCGCTCCCCTCCTCCCTTCCTCAATCGAGGAGCCAACAAAAACGTATTCTCTTTGATCTGCATCAATATCATCACCTTAAAACCACCAACCTCTACAAACTCTACCTTCACTCACCATCCTTATCAACTCACCTTCACAACAAAAACAACTTTAGCACAAACATCAATTTTCCTCTCCTCCTCCCTCTCTTTCTCTCTTCTCACCCTCCTCTTCCTTCCTTGGTCTCCTTCTCACTTGTTTCCCTCGTCATTACCCTGTCGATGCTGCACTCGTCGCATCCATATGTCTTTGTGGCCTAAGCCTCTTAAAACCGGTATTTCCCTTTATGTCGAAGCCTTTATCCCGAAAGCCACGTGTCAGACAAGGAGTGAAAGAGAATTTTTTTTAAAACAAATAAATCATCTCTCTCTTTTGTGCCAGCTGAGGTCATATCTCTCTCTCTCTCTAAAAATGTCGTTTAATTTATCAAATTGTCACATCGACTCCATTGCGTTGCGATTTCAAAGCTCGATTTAACTTCTGAAAAGACGCCTATAGTTTATTAACTGACTTCTTATAAACTTTTTTTATAAACTTTTCTTATAAAGAGTGATTCTTACATGAATTTACTTTAAGTTTAGCGTTAAATTCAATAGTTTAAACTCCAATTTATTTCGGATGTCTTGTATTTCTCTTGTAAAATACAAGAAAGTTCCTTGTTTGTTTATAGTTGTGTTTTTGGTTTAGTTATTAGTTTGCTTAACGTTGAGAGAAAGAGAAAATTAGGAAATAAGAATGATATTATTGAATTACAAAATGTCTTATTTATATAGATATAGATATAGGTGACTTGACTACTACGCAACAAATATAACAAATTAACTAACAAATCTTAAATCCTAATTAACTTTAAACTTAGACCAAATAATTCTACTGAATTATATCTAATATCTTAAAAATTAATCACTAAAGGGAAACGATACCCTCTTATCTTATTGCGGAACAAGTGTAACAAATGTGACACATATATAGCCGCACATATCTTTATTTAGTAGAATCCACTGAACTTAAAAACACAAGACACAGAACAACTCTTTGATACTACTTCATTCACCGGTATTGGCTTGCTAATTCACCCTCCTTCACAATGTAGTTCTGTTTTGGAAAGTCTTCACCCTTGAAGTGCCTCTCAAGCATATCTTTGACTCCAGCAGCATAGCGTAACTGAACAAGTTCCAATCATCAACATCATCAGTAGATCACAAAAAATCTACTTCAAAAATATAGCCAAAGTAGTCTTCATTTTTAACTTTTTTTGTTTCAATGTATTCTTGCATGTTCTAAAACATTATCAGTATTAGTTTTCTACAACAGCTTTCTGGATTCAAGCATCCCCACAGTCGTCATATAAGTAGTCCTTGGATCGAGACCAAAGGGTCCTTGTAGACAATTCAATGTATAATCACAAATCGCAATCCAACGACCACATATATACTCACTGTGTGGAATTGCTGAACGTAGGCAATACAAATTTGTCAATGACATGTTTGCATTTCTCCTTGTGGATGAGGCAACTTGTGTCTCAGGTAATGTTTAGGAATATGTGAGACTACATCGAGAAAAATAATAATTTAACCGACCACCTTAAAACTAGAAATTAAGATAAAGAACTAAAGTGAAGTAGTTTTGTCAAAAATTAAACTACCTGTGCATCTATGGTGGTTCCAGAAATATGAGGAGTCATGGCATGGTTTGGCATGTAGCGCCACGGATGATCTTTTGGAGCTGGTTGAGGGAACCAAACATCCCCACTGTAACCTATAAGATGAAACTCAGCTGTTACACTATATCAAACATAGTTCAAACGAAATTGAAGTGCTACACTATAGGATTATGTTTTGTTTGGAAATACTATATTTGCAAGCTCTGGTTTTAGAATTACCTCCAATGTGTCCACTAGAGCAAGCATCAGCAACTGCTTGTGTGTCCATAATTGCCCCGCGAGCATTGTTAACAATCAAGACACCTTTCTTCAACTTAGCAATTCTATTTTTGTCAAACAATCCTCTGAGTCACAAACATAATACAACAGAAATTTCAGTCACCTGTGGGTGTAAACTCAACAGAAGGACTTAAACACAAGTCGTGACTTGTAACTCTGAACTTGAATAATAGAATGACATTGTAGTCACTCTCTAGTCGGAGACTTGGGCACTATTGGCCAAACTCCGTGAACAAAATTTGGGTGTTCCCTATTTTAATTTTTACATGTGTTTACTTTTGAGCCAGGAGTGTTGCTTAAACAGCCACCACACCATGTTTCACCAATAAATCACAAATGCACGGAATATATTGGAGTAGCTATGAATTTCTCTTATGACTACGGATTTCATGTGTACAAAATTATTTCAACAGAACGTATTAGCATTAAAATTATACCTTGTTTTTTCAGTGAGAGGCGTGTTGATAACAATAACATCACACTTTGGAAGCATTGCATCGAGGTCCTCTTCAAACTTAGCTCCAATTTCTTTCTCCAATTCAGGCTCAATCTTAAGTCTATCATGATATAAAAGGTTACAGTTAAAAGGTTTCAGCCTTTGGAGTAAAAGCTTCCCGATTCGTCCAGCACCTACTGTTCCTACCGTCTTTCCTTCGAGATCATAGGCTCTATGTGCAATGCCAGCAACATTCCATTCTCCTGTAATAGACTGATGGTAACCAGGCACAAAATTCCTCACCAGAATGAGAATTCTCATGAGCTCATCCTCAGCAACAGATACTGTGTTGCTTCCTGTGACTTCTGCGACGGTTAAACCAGCAGCAGCCGCAGCATTGAGATCAATGTGATCAGAACCAATTCCGGCAGTCAAAAGTAGCTCTAAATTCTTAGCTTTCTTAATTCTTTCGGCGGTGACATAGGCAGGGTGAAATGGTGTAGATATCAAGACATGAAGATCAGGAATGTGCTTCTCAAGTTCTGATAACATAACAACAATTAGTCATAAGTTCAAGCAATCATAAACTTGAGATATCATCCACATATTTTAAAATTCAAGCAAACAAATATAACAAGAAAAATATTTAAAATCATATGTATAAATATGATTTTAATTACTACTCATCAGAAGGCACACACACAGAACACGCCAACACAGGTACACGCCTTTAAAGAGGGTGGATTAATTTGGCAAAATGTATACCAGAATTGGGTCCTTCTTTGTCATCAGTGACAATGTATTCATGTCCTTGTGATTCCAACCACTCGCGAATACCTAATGCTCCTTCAACACATCCCACAAATTTGGGATTCGATGCAGCATACTCATTGCCTTTGTAGAACACACCTACAATCTTCTTCTTTCCACCAGAGGCCTATTCCAAAACAAAAAAAAAAACAACGCATAAGAAAAGTCAAATAACAAAACATACGCTATGGATATGAATATGAATACCCTGCTCATAAAAAATCACCTCTTTTTAAACTAATTTTACTTTAGCTACAGTTACCCAAACCAAATTCAAAGGTATGAAACAATTTACTTAGTAGTAGATAAAAATAAAAATTGATGATTGTTCAGTTAGTAACTGTCCAGACACATGCGATCGATAGTAAATTCCAGGTTCATTACAAACCCTTATAATGTAGATAATGTGTGGAGAGAAACTAGATCTTTTAATTGATTTTTTAATAAATTATTGAAAGAACGATAGTTAAGAATTAAAATTGTAAAAAAGAGAAAATACGGTGACATTGCGTGAATATGACGACGAATCGTGATACATGCAAGAAAGAGAAACGAAAATGACAGATACCAGATCACATCTTCTTTTGTGGATAACTATTAAAAAAAAATTGGTTACCAATTTTTTTTTTTTTTTTTGAAGATTGCTTAATTGATTATTAAGAACAATGAAATGAAGAAAAAAAAAACATCAAAATAGATATAGAATGAAATTTAGATGGTTAATTGGTGATGAAATTGAACTTACATGAAGGTGTCTGGTGATGGTGGATGAAGCAGAGAGCAAGGTGGAAGAAGCAGAGATCAAGGTGGAAGCAGCAGATTTCATAGCCATCTTCGATCAGTGTTTTGTTTCACTGAAACTGTGAAATTTAGAAGAAAGAAGAAGAATGGATAGTGAAGTTTGAGGAATGAGGAGTAGTGAGGGGGGTTTATATAGAAGGAAAAATTGAAGATAATTACTATGAGCGGAAGGAATAGTGAATGACTACGAAACTTAACTTAACTCGAGGAAGTTAAGATCATTATTTTCCACGTGTGTTTTTTTAGAGAGAAGTCTACCTTCTCTCTCTAAGAATCTTATTGTGTGTTCTTCCACCCAAATTTAGGGTAGTGGCGGTATTTCTCTGGTTTTCTTTGGATCTCATCTCCACTAGATGGTGGTCCCTTTTTGATAGTTTTCTTTCATTTTTTAAAAGTGTTAACCTTGAACTCATAGGGTGAGATATAAGAACAAAAAGAGGTTGAAGAAATCAGCGAAGAAGAGGTTTTTCAACGAATATTGGTCAGATATTTATGGATAGAGAATAGTTTTAACTCAAGAGTTTTCATTAGTATAGTAATAGGCACATGAAGACAGAAGAAGTACAGTAGTATGCGCATGGAGACAGAAGAAATACAGTAGTATGCGCATGGAGACAGAAGAATCATGTAGAAATGCAGGAGCTAAGTAAGAATATATTCCTCTTTCGTTTTGCCTCCAAACGAGATTTGGAATCAGTTCTCCGTAACGGTCTATGGAGCTTCAATCGCAACTTACTAGTTTTTGAGAAGGTCATCGGACAAGAACAACCTTTAAGTTTCAACATGCACTTTGGAGTCTTCTGCGTTCAGATTTATGATCTTTATTTGATGCTTAGATCTTTGTCAATGGAGGAGAAAATAGGGAACATTCTTGGGGAGTTTGAAGAAATGAATTCAAAGGATAGTCATCGCAGCAGGAGATTTATGAGGATACGAGTTAAGATAGATCTAAACAAACCTCTAAAATGAGTAACAATGGTCAGATTCAAAGAGAAGAGTTATCGAGTGTTCTTCAAATACTAAAGGTTTCCTACTTTTTGTTTGCTTATGGAAGAATTGGGCATCAACTCAAGGATCGTGAAGCACTAGAAGAGATTGGAGAATAGGGTTTCGAAGAACTTGACCAACAGGACTTGTCTTTTGGATTGTGGCTATGAGCATCCCCACTTCCAAAAGTTTCAGAGGAACAACGATCAAAAAAGGCGGATTCAGGTACATGTAGCAAGAGTTTGTTCTAAGCCTCATCAAGCCATAACAGATGTACCTCAGATGAGGGAAGCAAAGAGGAAACAATGGAGATTAGGCAAGGAGTGAGTCCAACAGAGGCTCTTGCCAAATAAGGAAAGCATATGAGATCGAAAAGGAAAAGAATCAAATTAATGAAATAAAAACAGTAGCAGAATCTCTAGGGGTGATGATTATCTCAAGGGGGCAAAAGGAGGAGCTGAGGCAACCACGGAAAAGCGTAACCACGAGGAAGAAATGGAGTAGGACGAAAGGGGGAGACAAGGTGAGAGAAGGCAAAAATGTCCAACTTCCTTTGCACCAAATAGGGGTAGGGGAAGAAAAACGACAGTTGGTGGACGTGCAAATAGTAGAAGGTTCGATGGAAGAATTACGGTAACAAGTCAAGAAGAGGAAACCAGAGGATACAGTGACAACAAAGGTTAATAAACTACCAAAGGTGGTGTTGGAAGGCTAACACTGCCTGCCCCAATGAAAATTTTAAGTTGGAACTGCAGGGGGCAGGGGAATTCCCATGCAGTTCGAGCCTTGAAAACCCCAATCTGGTTTTCCTCATGGAAACTAGGATGAAAGTGATCAAAATTGAGAAAGTGAAACATAAGTGTGGTATATATTGTGGCCTCATTATTGATTGCAAAGGTTTGGGGAAGAATAGAGGAGGTGGGATCGCTCTTCTATGGAACAAAGATCTTTATGTCTCAATTTTGTCCTACTCCTTAAATCATATAAGTGGTGTAGTGCAGGTAGAAGAGGGAGTTCCTCCATGGAACTTTGCTGGAATTTATGGGCACCCTGAAGAAAGTAAAAAGAAGGAAACTTGGGATTTAGTTTGGAATATGGTGGAGCCATTAGATAACTGCTAGATTTGCTTCAGAGATTTTAACGACGTTTTAAGCATAAAGGAGAAGAAATGGGGGATGCGAGAACTACAAGCCAACTCACGATGGGAAGACAGACTATAACTGATTATGGATTGTAGGAGTTGGGCTATGAGGGATACCCTTTTACTTGGTGTAATGGTAGAGTTGAGGATAATAATATTCAATGCAGATTGGGCAGGGGCTTTGCAAATGCTGATTTTGTCCCGAGGTTCTCCTCGATTAAAGTTAAACATCTAACCATGTATGGATCAGATCACGCAGCAATAAAGATTGACTTGGAGTATAATCATGAAGACAACGCAGGGAGAAGGTGTATTTTTAGGTTTGAGGAGGTGTGGACCAAGGATGATAATTGTGAGAGGATGATTAAGAAGCATTGGAACATAACCAATTTGGAGGGAAGTCGTAAGTTGGACTGCTTTCAAGATTTAGGGGAGGATTTCAAGTCCTATAGACCCAGCGAAATTCGAAAGGAGATGTTTATAATTGAAAGTTGCTGCAAGATTTGCAGATATAGGCCTCTAGTAGTGATGATATTAGAAAGCGTAAATCCCTTGAAGCTCAATGCAATAACCTGCTGAAATCTGATGAGTTAGTTTGGAGGCAAAGAAGTAAAGTCGTTTAATTGAATGCGGGGGACAAGAACACAAAATTCTTCACGAAAAGGCTTCCAAAAGGAGGAAAAATAACCACATCAAGAAACTCAAAGTCTCCAATGGATTATGGAAATATGGGGATGCAAATTGCGAGAAAGTCCTACTTTACTATTTCAAAGACCTTTTTACCATATCCAATACTTCAATAATTTCAAATATGTGTGTCGCAATCCATGGCAAGTTGTTAAAAGCTCAAAGAAGTTGGTGTGCTCGTGTGTATTATGAGAGTGAGAATGAGGAAGCGCTTCACCAAATGAATACTTTAATGGGCTCGGGTCGTGATGGATTGCCAGCCTTATTCTTCCATAACTAATGGAGTATTGTTGGAAATGAGGTTAAAAGGATGGTTTTGAATGTGCTTCATAATAATCATGATCCTTCTGAGTTTAACAATACTTTTATTGCTCCAATTCCCAAAAGCAAGAATCTCAACTCACCCAAAGACTTTAGACCAATCAGTTTGTGCAATATGGTGATGAAATCAGTAACTAAGGTTATTGTTAATAGACTCGAAGCTATTCTGCCATAGGTGATTAATGAAGAACAAAGGGCCTTTGTCAAAGGAAGACTCATTACAAATAACGTTCTTGTTGCTCTTGAATGCTTCCACTGGATGAAGAAGAAGACGAAGGAAAAGAAAGGTGTTATGGCACTTAAGCTTGACATGAAAAAAGCATGTGATAGAATAAAATAGGATTTTGTTTTTGTAACTATGGAGGCAATGGGATTTCCTCCTTACATGGTGAGGCTAATTCGTCGGTGCATATAGACTATTTCATATAGGATTCTTATTAATGGTCAACCAAGTAATGCTTTTTGCCTGAGAGGGGGCTCCGACAAGGAGACCCCTTTTCCCCTTACTTGTTTGTTATATGTGCAGATGTGCTTTCATAGTTATTAAAGAAGGAGGTTAGGGAGGCTAACATCCATGGAGTAAAGATTGCAAGGAAATCCCCGATCATCACTCACTTATTTTTATCAAATGATAGTTTTTTGTTTACTAAGGAAAATGGTGGAGAAGTAGATAGAGTTATGAGCATTCTCCAAAGGTATTAGGAAGCTTCTGGTCAACTTGTTAATCTTGAGAAATCTGAAGCTTCTTTCAGTTGAAATGTGGATGCTGATGGCATAAATATGATCCGACAAAGGATGAGGGTAAAGACTATTGCTTCTCACTTGAAGTATCTTACATTACCATCAACTTTTGGTAAATTCAAAAAGGCTATTTTTTATCAAGTTATTAACAAGGTATGGAAGAATTTTAAGGGATGGAAGGAGAAATTATTATCAAGGACTGGAAGGGAGATTCTAATTAAGTATGTTGCTCAAGTGATTCCAACATATGTGGTGAGTTATTTTAGGCTTCCTGAAAACTGCTGTAAAGAGATAGGAGCCATCATGGTTAGGTTTTGGTGGGGGTCTTTGCAAAATGAGAAGAAAATCCATTGGGCCAGCTGGGACAAGTTTGCTCATGCCAAAGGTGTTGGCGGTTTGGGGTTCTGTGAAGTTGGTGATTTCAATGGAAAAAAAATGTAGTTCTACGTCTGCACAACGGTGATTGTAGCGGGGAAATTTGTGAGTATAAGCTATTGATTAACTTAACTAAAAAATGCAAGAGTCGCCACCGCATTTTTATTTTATCCTAAAACAAAAAGGAAAAAGAGCGAACAAAACTTAAACAAATTCTAAAACAAGAATAAACAAATAATGGGTAAGGGGGTTGGTTACGCAATGAGAAGGTGTTAGCACCTAAATGTCTACAGTACTCTATAGAAGCCCTTTGAAGTATCTATGTTTTTTGGTTTGAAAAGATTTATTTGAAATGCGATTGGGGAGATGAAAAGAGAATTATTTTTAATATTTTTGTGTTCGGAGAGACTTATCGCCTCATGCCTACATACCCACAAAGTGCAATATAGTATTAAAACCTCGTAGTTCGTGGTACAAATAACAAAAATTTGTTGGTTATGATTGATTTTTAAATATAAAGACAAGTCGTCATTTTAAGGAGAAAAATACGATTAATCGCCCACAAGTATAAGACAACATTTGCATCACCTAAAGATGGAGGATTTTGCTTGGATTAAAATAAACAAGTCTATCACTCAACATTTAAGTGGAAAATGTCAACATCTTAAATACTATGGGGAACAGGAGAATTATATTTCAACTATGGAAATGACTCATGTCTAAATTTTATGAAAGTTTTTAAAATGAAAAAGTGCACAACAGGCACAAAAAGTTTGAAT